TACGGCTCCGATTTCGGAGTCCCCGGCAGGTAGTGGATAAAATGAAAACAAATTAAGAAAAACAAAAGCTGTCTTGGCCAGTGCCTGAAAGAGCTAAAAATCTTGACAAAAAGAATGTTTTTTCACAAAATTGTGAAAAGCTCCCCCCCAAAAAAAATCTTGACAAAAAGAATGCCTTTTGCACAGATAAATGTACATGTGAAAAAGCCAACATTTATAGACAAATAGACAATCTTACAATTTTATTGAGCTTAGGTCCTCCAATACATCAAAACATTAGGGATTGCAAATACAGTATGGATTGTTGAAAGATAGGCATGCAAGAAAGTACTCTACATGTATATGTAAGTTGACCTTTGCACAAGTATATTATCACTACAAAACATTGAAATTCACAAAGCTGGATCATGTCAAGAATTGAGACACTTTTAGAAAGGGACGGGATCAAAAACGGCCGTCCCATTCCCTTGCGTTCCTCTACAACAAAAGACCCATCACGGTCTGTGCACACAGCAAGATCTTGTGGCCCCCATGGTGGCACAAAACCTATGCGAAGAAAATGTGAAGTCCCCGAAACAATAATGGTGTTCTAACAATTACTGTTCATGGATAGGAAGTAAAATTCTCAGCGAACAGCTAACGGAGGGGAAAATTAAATGTGGCCACTCTTCTGCTTAAGATATTCCTTTTTAATTCTCTGAAGTAGAGCACTTAAGCACTGCATTCCACAAAGTGATACTTTGCTTCTTATCAGCAAAAAGACATACATTGTATAAAGTTTTGAGATGGGGATGTTTGTTATGGAGAAGAAACATCTTTCCAGCCTTTGAGGTTTACCAATCACGCCATTCTTTACTTTCGGTATGTGGAGCCTGCCAATTTTCATTCCAGGTTGTATCCCTCCCTATCACAGAGTATTATTGCCTTCACAAATTTATTCTACCATTTCAGAGTTTTGTCATTGAGATCTCGGCAAAAACATTTCAGCCCCCGACTGGCTGCTCTTTTTGAAGATTTTTAATCTTTAATTTTAAGGACCTCCAGCAAAAAGAATATTACTGCTTTTGCACATTTAAAAAACAATCCAACAATACTTGTGGTTCACAGATTTTAAGGGCCGGAATTTATGTTTAATAGCAACTTTTCAGTGTGTGGCCAACACACAAACACACACACAAAAGCCACCGCATGTCAGCTCTGTCTCCGCCCAACAAGTGAGTTTTTAATGCATGTACATTGTACATGTACATGTACAGTATGTAGCTCAACAAGGCATTTACATGTATGGTTGTCCGAGTGTATACCGGTGTGCTGTTATTGACGACATGCGACTTGAAAAAAAAAAGAAAAAAAAAAGGAGAGAACGGAGAGGAAGTTGTTGCAATTTATCACTGTAATTATAAGAAATATATTCATTCAGGCTGTTCAGCAGAATATTTTTTCTTCCGAAAAGGTGATTAAATTTTTGTGGAAGAAGTTGTTTATAAATTTCTTTTCTATCCACACCTCGACCACTTGTGTTATTAAATTTTTTCCCA